ATAAATTACTTATACTTATGTTTCAAAATGTACTAATTATTTTTGTATTTTATGAATATTAAAATAAAAAATACTTAAATCAAACCTTTATATTAAATATGTTCATGGTATAAATTATTATTATATATGTAATTTATTCAACAATTTTAGTAAATCACTGTCCTTTCAAAACATCACTTCGGTAAAATTAGTCGGACAAAATTAATATATGTCAGTCATTTTTCTAAACTATTTATTTTGAAAGTGGCTTAAGTCACTTCACCGTAATGAAAAGTGGTGATTTTTTAACGTTTATACGAAATTATTTATACTGAGAAAAATATCAGCATCCTCAGATAACAAATACAAGTAAATCTTCTCGAAAGTTAGCATCCATATTTTTAAACGTGTTAAAACGCAAACCCTTAAATATATCGACTTCAAAACAAAGTGACTTATGCCACTTTCAAAATAAACGGCTCAATTGTCATCATTGTTAAATCTGAATTCATTCTGAAGCCTAAAGTCTTGTTCATTTTCCTTCAAAAGTTTCCGCAAAAATGCTACATATTGAAACGTCCACAAAATCATTGAAAATTTTTTGGTGTGACTGAGTCCATCATGAATTTAAAGACTGAAGCCTCTATTTTGCAACGACACCATAAAACTCGATGTATGATTTTTTTGAACCGTTTCAGGGAACAAAAATGGCGACCAGGTTCAGTCGCCTGAATTCCTTATAGTGCAGTCTACATTGCCGCAACTTTGAACTTATTGTTAAAAGTTCGATGAAACTGTTACAAAGAAATCGTACATCAATTTTTGAGGAGTCATTGTGAAAGGGAGGCTTCGATCTTTAAAAAAAAAATTTTCAAAGGTTCTACAGACGTTCCTTGTTAGCTATTTCTAATCATCCATTTGTTTAGTCTGGGAGATCTGTTCTAATTGTTTCGTATTAATATTTATCTATACTAAATTTTAGTCGAATATTTTATTCGAATAACGATTATTCATAATTCGTAACATATTATTATATTAATTCGAATAATTCTTCATTTTATATACGAATAAATTATTCGAATATAGATTGTAAAATTATACGAATAAATTATTCGAATACAGATTGTAAAATTGTCCGAATAAATTATTCGAATAGAGATTGTACAATTGTCCGAATAAATTATTCGAATAGAGATTGTAAAATTGTACGAATAAATTATTCAAATAAAGATTGTAAAATTATTTGAATAATAATGCCAATAATTATCAACCGTTCTTTTTTTAAAGTATGTAGTAACAAATTTTCATCAGTTAAAAGATAAGTTAATCGTAAAAATTATAACATGGAAGAAATTAATGAAATTAATTTAAGAATTTAATGAACTATGGGAAAACACTATGTTCAATAATTATTATTCGAAACAATTATTTTCCGAATTAATTCTTGTACAAATAACTTCATCCTCTCGAATAACAAATAACTTCTCATTCAGATGGATTATTTATTCGAATAAAATCTTATTCGGATAAATTGTTAGCTAGGAAAATTTATATTTGCTCGGATATTTATCCGATAATGTCAAATGCAATTTTATTCGTTAATCTTTATCTCTCGTTCGTCGTTCGAATAAAATTTTGCCGAAATCTGGCACGAAGGCTAAATAGCCATTAAATTTGGATCATTATTCCTGGATGACCGCAGTATCGATCCCAGCTGCCTCCTGTCCCGTTCGCCGGAGTTTCCCTGGCATTAGCGATGGTGTAACCTTTTCTTCCGGTAACCTTCTCCCGCAGGAGCTCCAGTTAGCCAGGTCGTGTTCCTCCATGCTTCACGCCAATTTCCTATTTGCAGGGAAGTGACGAGCGACCGTTCGATTTTACTGAAGATAAAGACTGATGCCTGCGCCGGCACAGAGTATGCGGTCAACTATCTGGAACATGTGCAGGCTGTCATATCCGTGAACGCGACCAGGCGGGGCGATCTCGAGCTTTTCTTGACTTCGCCGATGGGCACCAGGTAGGTTCCTCGATCTCTACCGATTCATAGATCTTCCGCGCGTAACTATTCGGCAGGTCGATCGATTCTTGTTCGTCTGATCATTCGTTAACGCTAAACCTTCCAGTGTCGACTAATCTGTCTGTCCATCGTGTTGTATTTTACAATTATTCAAATTACGCACACTTACCGACAAAAGCTAAGAAACATCCTTGGATGTAGCAAATCATCTTAATATAGAGTATAAAATTTGTTTTGTGCCAACTGTTATTGCCAAATATTAACATTATTTCATTCTAATTTTCTAATTTTCTAATTTTCTAATTTTTTGATTCTCCGATTCTCCGATTCTCTGATTCTTTGATTCTCTGATTCTCGGATTTTCCGATTTTCCGATTTTCTAATTTTCTAATTTCCTAATTTCCTAATTTTCTGATTCTCCGATGCTCCGATTTTCCGATTCTCTGATTCTTTGATTCTCCGATTCTCCGATTCTGATTCTTTGATTCTCTGATTTTCCGATTTTCTAATTTTCTAATTTTCTAATTTTTTGATTCTCCGATTCTCCGATTCTCTGATTCTTTGATTCTCTGATTCTCGGATTTTCCGATTTTCCGATTTTCTAATTTCCTAATTTTCTGATTCTTCGATTTTCCGATTCTCTGATTCTCGGATTTTCCGATTCTCTGATTCTCGGATTTTCCGATTTTCTGATTTTCTAATTTTCTGATTCTTCGATTTTCCGATTCTCTGATTCTTTGATTCTCGGATTTTCCGATTTTCTAATTTTCTGATTCTCGGATTTTCCGATTTTCTGATTTTCTAATTTTCTGATTCTTCGATTTTCCGATTCTCTGATTCTTTGATTCTCGGATTTTCCGATTTTCTAATTTTCTGATTCTCCGATTTTCCGATTCTCTGATTCTCGGATTTTTCAATTTTCTAATCTTCCATTTTTATTTTGTTCTTTTATTTATTATCCTTTTACTAAAAATCTTTTTATTTGCTTTTTTATTTTTAGTAACATTTCCATTTGTCGTATGCAGTGAATAAAAAAATATTGCAATATAAACGATGCGCTACATATTTCCCTATAGTATGTACATTTAATTTAGTAGGACGTATATTTATTAACCTTTTGCACACGAAGCCATTTGAACTCTGAATTCAAAATTGATTTTCCGACTTACAGTATTTCCATTTTGTAACTCCTACAACAATTACACTTTCAACAGTTTCTGTAATAACAAACAAATCTGATAAGATTAAAATTATTTGGAAACGTTATATAACAATTTTGAGCGATGAGTCGGAGTCGTCAGTCGAGTGCAAAGGATTAAAACGTCAACTTTTACTCAAATGTTTGCTCAAATGTTGTATACTTTCATAGAAGAAAACTAAACAAACACCTTGACCAAAGCACGCGCCGTAAAACGAATCGTGACAAATTTGAAAAAAATTCAATTTCGTCGTTTTCGTAAAGCAACACCCATTAAAACAAAATTTTTAGTGCTCGGTAGTTTTAACGTTAAGTGAAAAGTCGCTTAGAATTGGGGGTCGTCTAGGATAGTCTCCTGTTCAACATTTCTAAATCGATTTTAGGTCGATGATTCTGAGCCGAAGGGTCAAGGACGACGACCACAGGGATGGCTTCACGAAATGGCCCTTCATGACGACTCATACTTGGGGAGAGTACCCACAGGGAACCTGGTTGTTGGAGGTGAGTACAGGGGGGGAATACAGGGAGAGTTTGCGCTCTGATCGATGAAACGCGCAAGAAGGAGAATAAAGCTGGGTAATTGTCTTCCGATAAGTCAACCGAACTTCGTTCTCCCTGTTTCTGTTGACATTTTCTGTAACGGAAGCTGATTAAAGAATTACGTCACGCAAAACGTAGATCATTTCTGTGCACCCACTCGCTTCGGTTTACTTACTTAACCCTTTCGCTACTACGGGCCACTATAGTGGCCCTCCATAAGATGTCACTGAGGTATTACGGGCCACTATAGTGGCCTTTCGTATGATGTCACTGAGGTACTACGGGCCACTATAGTGGCCTTTCATAAGATGCCACTGAGGTACTATGGGCCGCTATAGTGGCCTTCCATAAGATGCATTATATTGCATAATGTTTTATTTCCTCTCATACTGTAAATTAAAGAGCGCATGCTAAGACGTTATAAATACCCTGGAATACCCTTTATTTATAAATACCCTTTGGAGAGAAATTTTTTCGTACGAAAACATTCAAGCAGCTTGGGTTCTCCGCCGCGGTACTCCCGCTGACGATCGGCGTCGCGTAGCGTGCAGTGATGTCGCGGCGCTCCGTTCAGCGGAAGTACCGCGGTGGAGAACCCGCCCGTAGCGAAAGGGTTAAAGTTGGTAGAGCAGTTTTTGAAAAGACGGCTGCTCGGATGACGCAGGTCAGACATCTTTTCTCGCCGAATCTTGTTAATAGATTGCGTCACGTCAAAACGTAGATCATAATTACAAACCACTGAATTCTCTCCAATTGTTCTTTAGCTTGTAAACAAAAATGGACAATATGGGAAGAGGAGACGCGATTATTCGAGCCTCGCGAATCGTTTTAATAGTTGTTGACAATTGGCGATTATAAAAAACGAGCCGTGAGGCTCGAATAATCGTATCGCCTCTTCCCAAACCGTCCATTTTTTATAACAAGTTGAAGGACAATGGGAAATAATATACAGGGTGTTCCACAATTATTTTAACAGCCGAAAATGAGGGGTAGCTGAGGTCATTTGAAGTAACTTTTTCCTTTGCGAAAATGCAATCTGCGGCTTTGTTTACGAGTTATTAACGGAAAACACTGGCCAATGAGAGGTGACGGTGCGAGAGAGAGAGTCCGTGAGAGAGTCCGCAGCACGAGGCTTTGACAGAAGGTCGGGCGGACTCGAGCCGCGTTCGAAGTATTGAACAAGTCACGAAGCGTGAACTTTCCGGATTTTTTTTATTACGTAAAAGTGATATTTTTCAGAAAAATGCTGTTCACCTCTACTTTAGAACGTCTGAGGAATATTTACTAATTTTTCGGACTCGAAATAATATGTAGTTTAACCGTGACAGTCGTTTTAATTTTCTGGTGTGCATGATACCTCATGTGTACCATATGAAATTTTTATGCAAGGTGTATTGTAGTTCATTATGCAAGTCGATGCAGCAGTTTCTGTAAGAGATGACTACTCGAACGACTCAAATTGTCTCTTCTCATGGTGAATTATTTTTTTGTCAGAATATAGGAGAAGAAATAGAAAGAACGAAATAAGAATAGAAAGAAGTTAGAATAGAAAAAAATAATTGTTGCATTCGCAAGAAGGTGTAGCAGGACGAAATAATTTATTCTGAATCAGGAGAATTTGTTCTAAGTTCGTGCCAGATCTACCGAGATTTATAAAAAGTATTTTTTTTTAAATTTGAGACAAGAAAAGATTAAAAACTTCGAAAACATCATTTAATAATTTTTACATCATTCCAACTAATTGAAAATTAAAAAAGTTCATTCTCTAGAAAACTAACGTCGGGCTAACGTCTCAAAAACATTCAAGTAATTTCGAGTAATTTCGAAAAAGTTATTCCGTTTGAAAAAGTGTTTCTTTCTTTCTATGATTATTTCGTTGCGTTTCAAGCAATGCAACAATATTTTGTCAATTCTTTAACAATAAAACTACCGAGTGGTAATATTGACCGGTGTCAAAGAAGTAAGATGATCAAATTAATTTTGGCTGTTTGTAAAGTTTTTGCTATAAAAGCTGCTGCGGTAATGTAATTCATCCAAGCATTACAGTAATATCTCTCTGATTAACGCTCTCTCTAATTGTCCACAAAAATGGACAATTTTGGAAGAGGAGATACGATTGTTCGAGCCTTGTGGCTCGCTTTTTATGCTTATCGATTGTCAACGACAGTAAAAACGAGCCGCAAGTCTCGAATAATCGTATCTCTTTTTCCAAAATTATCCATTTTTGTGCACAATCTAAGCGTCAATTTTGGGAGACATATGGTCTCTTAACACTTAGCCGATCGCACGCGCCACAGAGACCTGTACAGTTTCCACCGCGCTCGGGAAAGCCAAACTGCGCTGTCCACCGCGCATTTTTCTGAGGTAGCACGGACTCTAATTCGCTATTTGAAATCAAAAACGTCCGAAAATTATTTATGCGATCAATTATATCTTACGGTAACAATTTCGTTCAACGATTTCACATATTGCTTATACAAAATTCGAATTTAAAAGTTTATAAGAATTATTTTTTAATGGTTATTCAAAAAGTATAGTTAATAGAGTGGGAAAATTAAGGACAGTAAAGATGACGGATAAATAACATAACTCAAATATGGAACAAAAAAGCAGTAATATATCGTGATGTTCAGGCATTGTGTTAACGCATGCAGTTCGACCATATGCTTCAGTTCAACTCTAATATCAT